AATTTGTTCTAAGATATTGAAGTAGCTTTACAGGAAGAGGTATTTCACATTTTTCTTTTTTGCTTATGACTTTTCAGAATTACTTCCATCTTTCTCTTAGGTCACCAGGATGCCCCATAGAGTTGCATCTGTTCCATTTCCGACCATTACCTCCCTCTGCTTCTCTTCCCAGTGTTGAATTTTTACTTTGTAGTTCATGCCCCTGTCTGATTTTAAGTCACACAGATTATTTATTCCCTATGAATCAAGAAATGGAGAGTTGATAACTATGAACCACATACATTTTGGATGGACAATAATTGTGTCCTGTAATGTGATTAAATTTTAAGTCCATCTTTAAGGTTTGGAATCATTGTACTCCTTAGGAGAGAGCTGCTATTTGTTTAGAATTTCTCTTTTCATATGATAGGTTGGCCATTTGTCTTCTCTGGCCATCTTTATCATCACCTGACATATTTTTGCTTATGGTAATAACATTTGCTCTGCTTTTGTGTTTTGGCATTAAGTTTCCAGTTTTTTCTTATGAAAATATTATATATGGTTCTACAAGTCATTTTTTAATTCCTACCTGAACCTTCAATACTTTCAGTATTTCTAAAAGCACCTTTCCACTATAGTGACTTCACATCATTAGTTAATATTCTCAAAGCTTGATATATTTAGAACTCTGCTTTTTTTTTTTTTTTTGGAGGCCATAACACACAGTTTGCAGGATCTTAATTCCCCCACCAGAGATTGAACCTACTCCCCACCTCCCCACCCCACCCCACCCCCACCAACCATTGGGTGGCCAGGGAATTCTCTCAGCTCCTCATTTTAAAAAGCAGATGTTTAAAAAAAAAGCAGATGTTCTTCATTCTTCTTGATAATTCTAAATTTGGGAGCCAATTTCTTAACAACTCTGATAAGATCATCACCCTGTTTGTTTAATATGTGAAGTATTTAACAATGATTAACGAAGTACTATAGCAAAGCAAGTCAACCTTTCTATTATAGTGTTTTCTATGCTCACATGATTAGTATTATCCTTAATTTTTTAAACCATCTTTCCATTTTATGAAATGAAAACGCGGTAATATAATCAGAAAATCCTCCTAGTTGGGCACCCATCAGCTGAGGCACCCAAAGGTACCCTCAGTGTGAAGACTTGAGAGAGGGTGCCTGTGTCAGTTTCCTATAGCTGCTGTAGTAAATTATGAGAAACTGGTGACTCAGCTCAAATGCATTACCTCTGAGAGGCTAGAAGTATGAACGGGGGTTCACTGAGCTAAAATCAAGATGGCAGGCAGGGATACTGAGTACCCTCTGGGGTCTCTGTGGAAGCATCCATTTCCTGCCTTTTTCATCCCTTAGAAGCCACCCATATTCCTTGGCTGGTGGCTCCTTCCTCCATCTTCAGAGGCACCAGTGCCAGCCAAATCCTCACTCTGCATCACTCGGCCTCTGACCCTCCTGCAGTCCTCTTTTACTTACAAGGACCTTATAATTGCATTCCCCCTGACACACACCAATCAGGGCTTCTCAAGTGGGGCCATTAGTGGTAAAGAACCTACTTGCCAGTGCACAAGAGATGAGAGACTCGGGTTCAGTCCTAGTCGGGGAGAACCTCTGGATGGGGGTATGGCAACCCACCCCAGTTTTTGCCTGGAGAATCCCAAGGACAAAGGAGACTTGTGGGCTACAACCCATGGGGTCACAAAGTGTCAGACATGACTGTAGCAACTTAGCACACAAGCACGCACAGCCATGAAGCAGGAAAGCATGGATTACCAGTTTAAGAGTAGCTGGGATTTATAATTGCTTTCCATGTTTATCAAGCATCTATTGAGCACCTACTGTGTGCCACACACTGGGCTGCTCCTGAGGACACAGCAATATCACAGACTCAGGCTCTGCCCCAATTTCAAGGAGCAGATAATCTGAGATTTGGGTGGGGGGAGGGGGTGATAATGTTTATGTACATAATTGTTTACCTCAGTTACAAGGTGCTATAAAGACAGAAATAAAGGTGTTAAGATTCTAGATCAACTGTGAAGTGTGTGGTCAGGGAAAATTCACTGCCCTTTCCTCAAGGAAGTCTTCCTTGAATTCCAGGTGAGGGAACAGCAAAGGGCATAGGCCAGCAATAAGAAGAAAAAGTTAACTATTAATGAAAAAGCCAGTGTCACTGGAAGACAGAGATTAGTAGTGGGGAGAGAAAGGATGAAGATGCTCGTGGTCTAAGATAAAGGAAGAAGTAGTGAGAGCCAAATAACCCAAAATGTCATTCACCATCTGAAAGATTTTGAAAATTCTGTGATAGAAGGTAAAGAAATGGTTTCAAACAAGAGTCAAGCAGCTTAGCCGTCTCAGACATTGTTTTTTTGCAGTATGATTGACAGCTAACATTATGTTAGTTTCAGATATACAGCATAGGAATTCAATGTTTGTTTATATTGTAGATTTATCACCTCAGTAAGTCTAGTTAAATTTTGTCACCATACATATTCTTTTTTTTAACTTTTTATTTTGTATTGGGTATAGCCGATTAACAATGTTGTGGTAGATTCAGGTGGATAGTGAAGAGACTCAGGCATACATATATACATACATAGATAGTCTTGATTAAAAATAATAATAACATAAAACTAATAGACTGACCTGATCTCAATGTGCTTAGTTATGGACAATTAATGTTAGGTGATTTATAGACCAATAAGCTTTATTCTTGCCTGGAAAATTCCATGGACAGAGGAACTTGGTGGGCTACAGTCCATGGGGTCAAAAAAGAGACACAGCTGAGAGAGCATGCACGTGCACGCACACACACACATGCTTACTTGACAGTTGTCAATTATTAATTTAGGATATGGTTAATATAGGGTGTCCCAGGTGGTGCTAGTGGTAAAGAACCCACCGGCTAATGCGGGTTTGATCCCTGGGTCGGGAATATCCCCTGGAGGAGAGCATGGCAACCCACTCCAGTATTCTTGCCTGGAGAATTCCATGGATAGAAGAGCCTGGCGGGCTATAGTCCATAGGGTCACAAAGAGTCGGACACGATTGAAGCAACTTAGCAGGCACAAATAGTTAATTTAAGCAGAATTGTTCTATACATTTGGAGAGAGTGAAATAGAAATGACTTAGAAATATCTCCTAAACCTAACACAATGTTATGCATGATTGCATTTGTAGAAACTATACCCTTGCATTTTCACTGTAGGCTTTGAGAATGACAGTCAGAATTTTTGCATATCATTTGCCAGATGAAAATGAAAACCTCTAAGACAAATTTGTTTCTGCAGAGTGGCTGTTACATTCACATAAAGATTTAGCTGACAACTAACAAAAAGAATTGGGGGAATAGATGGGAGAAACAGCTGTCCAGGAAGCTATCAGTTGCTAGGTTTGCTTGGAATGCACTGGAATTCCCCAGAAGCCCCATTTTGCTCACTGATGATCATCTGCCTTTAGAAATCACATTAGAGATCCAGTTTTCTAAGTCTCATCTCCTCCTGAAAAAGAATATACATTTCCAGGCTCCCCCAGGATGCATAATTTTGCACCATTGTTAGTGGTTATTACCACCATTTATCTCTCCAGTAATCCCCCTGGTCCCTTTTGTATAAGTCTGAATATGCCTTGCACACGTTTACAAATGACATTCTCAGTTACACTTGAGAAGAGAGACGGGTTAGCTAAAATGAACTCACAATGATTATCTTATTCCAACAATTTAAAAGTTTTAGCTTTCTTAACAGTATTCACTGTTTACATCATCATATGTGCAAGGTTATAAAGAGGCAGTGCAAGACAAAACAGGTATCTAGCAGGCTTGGAATCCTAGAACTAGTCTGCATGACTTTGTCTTAAAGATTAGGATTGTACGATGAAGTTAATATTTTTATCTATTAATAACAAACACTTATATAGAACTTGTATTTGTCAGCCATTGTTCAAAGGTGCTCTACAAATACTAACACATCAAATATTACATGGGGCATTCTACTGCTCATTTATGGTGGACTTAAGTTTGCCACAGCTCCTTAAACTGAGGATATTCTGAAGCAAGGTGCCAAGCTAGTTCTGAGGCACCTCTTAGAGATTTAGCATAGTACAGTACAATATTTGGCCAAAGTCATATAGGAATGTGTTGGGGAGGAAATATTTCCCCTCTACCCTCTTATGCTCTGTTCTTGGGGGCCTGCAAATTAAACTGACCAAAGACAGATTAGCTGAGAGGAAAAACACAATTTTAATTCAGGTGCCTGTGGAAATTCACAGGAAAATATCATTCAAGGAGGTACTAGTTAGAATTTGAGGCTTATATACCCTCTTACTGGGCTTCCCTGGTGGCTCAGATGATAAAGAATCCACCTGCAATGCAGGACACCAGGGTTCAATTCCTGGACTGGGAAGATCCCCCGGAGAAGGGAATGGCACTCCACTTCAGTATTCTTGCCTGGAGAATTCCATGGACAGAGGAGCCTGGCGGGCTCCATGGAGTCACAAAGAGCAACTAATACTCACTTTCATGGTCAGGTAACAATGTTTCTGTAAACCTCCACCAAACAAATGTTATTCTCTGTTATGACATGAAAGGACGTGGTCTCCAGGCATAACTTTACCCTTCTGAGGTCCAGTCCTGGCTGAGAGGAGGCAGAGGTCAGCTGGTGGCTTCCTCAGGGCTGGGTCCCCAGAGTCTGCCCAGCCACTGTCACTGAGGGAGCCAAAGCCCAGGACCCAACTGGCCCTCAGGCTCCTCAGGCCGCCTGCACAGCGGGGCAGGTCCCTGACTGTGATCTATACAGGCAGCCACTGCCACTAGGTCACAGAGGCAGGGCTGGGGGAGAGATTCACCACTCCTCAAGGCCTGGGCTTGGCCAGTGGGTGACCCTTGTGAGGGCTCTGGAGCCCTGCAGGACCCAGCCCCCTGTTCCCTGGGCCCCCAGCTCACCCATTGGCCCAAGGCCAGGTGAATTGGTGGGCCCCCAGGCAGAAGGAGAGGATCTCCCTCTTACCTGATTCTCCACTTGACAGCCACTGCTCCACCAATCTTTGGCTGCATGGGCCACTAACGGTCATCTATTGACAGTTGCTTGTTTGTGGGTGGGGCCAACTGCAGCACTGACCAATGGCTGAGCAGGGCCACTAACGGCCGCTCACTGACAGTTGGTCACTTGGGGGAGGGGCCCACTGCGGCGCTGACCAATGGCTCAGCCACTAATGGTACCTGTTTGCCTGGTAACAGAGTCGGTGGCGCAGAGCAACTACCCTGAAGCCCTTAGCTGTTACAATTCTGTTACCTAACATATTCCTTTGTATTGGGGGGTTTTAATGATGTCTCAGGGGCTTCCCTGGTGCCTCATATGGTTAAGAATCTGCCTGCGATGCAGGAGACCTGGGACCTATCCCTGGGTCAGGAAGATCTTCTGGAGAAAGAAGTGACTACCCACTCCAGTATTCATTCTTGTCTGGAGAATTCCATGGAGAGAGGAGCCTGGTGGGCTAGAGTCCACAGGGTCGCAAAGAGTAGGACATGAATGATGTCTCATAGAATGGATTTCTTCAACAGTAAGAAATTTTGTTTTTTAATCTCCCCTTAGCTGCTCATAATGGGAAGCTCACGTGGTCCTCCTCAGCAGTAAACACTAGAGATGTTTACCAGCACCAGCCTCGTTTTGATCGTTGAGGAAACTAAGACATAGAAAAGTTTGGAGACTTTTCCCAGGTCAAGTGACTGGTCAGTGACCCAGTCAATAATTGTACCTATTCAGTTTGACTCCAAAATTCAAGCTCTTGGGAATTCCCTGGCAGTCCAGTGGAAAGGACTCCACGTTTCCACTGGGTGGGAGAGCTGGGTTCCATCCCTGGTTAGGGGATCCTGCAAGCTTCGGAGTGAGTCCAAAAGCAATAAAAAGTAAAGTCACTAGCATGTAGTAATTTAAAATATATATATATCAAGCTTTTAACAACCATGAATTGTGCCTCTGTTACGAGGGCCTCCTTCCTTGAATTTTTTTTATTTTAACTAGATAAAAGTATAATAAATGACTTCAAGGAGCCTTTATGGATTAGTATAAATATGACAATATTATAACCTAAAAAGCAGTCTTGCTAATAGTATCACCCTCCCCACCCATCCTAATATAATGGAATCTTCAGATCTGATCATTTCTGTGCCCTAAGGTGACATCTATGTATACATCATACTCAAGTAGAGGCACCCTTGATTCACAGTTCCTAGTCCTTTAAAGAGACTGCCCCTCAATACTCAAAACCTGCCCTAGACCCCAGATCTGTTCATTGTCACTCAGTTCAGGAACAGACAATGGCCTCAGTCAACATGCCTCCACATCTTCAAGGACATCATTCAGAAACTTTACACTTACTCCTAGAAATGTCTGCCCCAAAGAAACTTGTTATTAAATTGGTGACAGTGAATATGCTCATGATCTTTCTAGAGCAGAGGTTCTCAGGGGAAGAAACAGAAGTTTAAATGATTTTTTTATAAAATATTAGAGATAGAGATATTCTAATCTTAGGTTATTCTAACCATTCTCCTCCTTAATTGGACACTGTGCCTGTGCAGTTTCAGGGTACTTAAGGACCCCCCATGTCCCATACAAGGACCCCTCTCCTTCCTCCAACTCTGTGGACATAGTGATATTCAGTTGCTGTTGATTAGGAAGTGTAGTTGATCCTTTTGTGAGCAGCACTGTTACATGCAACCAACAAACAACACACTTTTTGTTGACATATACTGTCTGCCAGGCACCTTGCTAGTCACGGTGAATACAGATAGAAATCAGGTGTAATCCTCCATTTCAAGTTTCTATCAGAGAAAGAAACATGAAGGCAGAGAAAGGTGGGACAGTTCAGGTTTGTACAAAACAGGGAGCAGATTCCAGGAAAGCTTTTACAACACAGGAGATATTTGAGTTCATTCTGAAAAAAAAAATGGGTGTGAAACAGTCACTCACATGAAAACTTATATACAAAAAAAAAAAAGTGGCAGATTATCATCTGATAAATTTCTTTCAAGAGCCACTTGAAAAACAGAAATGCTGCAGAGGGTACAGAAGAAAAGAATCTGAATTTTATTTTTTAATTTAGCTATTTATTTGGCTGCGCTGGTCTTAATTACAGCATGTGGGATCTAGTTCCCTGACCAAACCCCGGCCTCCTGCAATGGGAGCACAGAATCTTAGCCATTGGACCACCATGGAAGTCCTAAGAATCTGCATTTTAAATTTTCATTCCTTGTCTTGTCAAACCACGTCTATGTTCTCAGACCGCGGATAAGACTGGAAGCAGCCTTCTTTAACGACCTGATTGGTATTCTCTGGGCTTTCAGTGCGATGCTGTAGAACAGCACGCAAACGCCAGGGGGCAATGCGATTTCACCAAAGATCACAGGAAATGCTCCAGATCCTGTTTTGGCTAAGAGCCTTCACAGCATCCTGTTGCAAAGGTGAAATCCCTAATAAAGAGAGTTTCGCTAAGGGAAAAAAAAAGTTGAAAAACATCCTTTCTTTGAAAGCTTCCTGAATTGCGATCAAAATTGCCTTTCAACAATTGCGCACAGCTGAACGTTTTGCAATACTATTTGCAAAAGAATGACTTCAATTTTTTGCTCAATGCAGCTGCCTGCCTGATCTTCCCAATCCTCAACCTAAGGAATGTAAGCAGCCCCCAGCTAGCCGGATTTCACCTCGCTAGGGCTCTAGCGTCCTCAGCCCAACACAGGCCCTCCCCTCCTCGCGCCCACGCGGCGCGTCCAGCTGCCTCCTCCGCGGAGCTGCGCGGCTCCCTTGAAGGTAATTCCAATCCCGCCTGTGTTTTGTTTCCGGCTCAGCAGCCGCCAGGTGTCTGCCCTCCCTTAACCCCCAAGGATGAGAGATCAAAGGTGTTTCTGCATCTGCCTCCTGCCCAGCTCTTTAATCTGTTACATGTTCAAAAGGGACAAGCACAGTACTGTGCGCGCAGGATGGGGATAGAAATCAGAGCCGTGGACATGGGCGACGTCCCAGAGTTTGTGGACGCACTCGGATGATGAGGAATATGTCAGTCTACATAGTAGCCCTGCCATTTAGGGAGTGTTTTCTTTTAAATTATACTATGAATAGAATGTATACATGGAAATTTGATTCAGTTTTCAGTTCAGTCCCTCAGTTGTGTCTGACTCTTTGGGACCCCATGGACTGCAGCATGCCAGGCTTCCCTGTCCATCACCAACTCCGAGAGCTTAGGCAAGGAGTCCGTGATACCATCCAACCGTCTCATCCTCTGTCACCGCCTTCTCCTCCTGCCTTCAATCTTTCCCAGCATCAGGGTCTTTCCCAGTGAGTCAGTTCTTCACATCAGGTGGCCAAAGTATTGAAGCTTCAGCTTCAGCATCAGTCCTTCCAATGAATATTAGGGTTGATTTCCTTTTGGATTGACTAGTTGGATCTCCTTGCAATCCAAAGGACTCTCAAGAATCTTCTCCAACATGACAATTCAAAAGCATCAATTGTTCGGCGCTCAGCTTTCTTTATAGTCCANTGGACAGAAGTTTCAACAAGCTCTGGGAGTTTGTGATGAACAGGAAAGCCTGGCGTGCTGTAGTCCAGGGGTCACAAAGTGTTGGACATGACTGAGCCACTGAACAACAGAAAATGCTGTGGTCTGACATTCTAGGCCACAGGCCTTCAGCAGGAAGGAGACAGAAATGAGGTTTGACCTTGGGGAGGTTATCAGTGACTCATGAGCAGACTATCCAAGTTCAAGGGAAGGCCTAAGTACCAGGGGTCAGTGCTCTAATAATATTGTAAATACAAAATTCTCTTAGTCTCTGTATCTGCAAGTCCTCACATTCAGGTTTAAACTATGGGGCTGTTCAGTGTATTTAAAGTTCTTGAGTATATTCTTCCCAACGTGGCTGCCACCAGTCATCAGTCTTTTTCAGTTTTGTTTTTTGGTCTCAGTAGGCATCATGTAGGATCTTAATTCCCCAACCAGGCATTGAAACTGTGCCCCCTGCATTGGAAGCCAGGGAAGTTCCAACCAGTCTTTTCTTTGCCATGCCACTCAGCTTGCAGGATCTTTGTTCCCCAACCAGGGATCCAACCCAGGCCCACAGCAGAGAAAGCACCAAGTCCTAACCATTGAACCACCAGGGAATTCCCCACCAGTCATTTCTCGCCAAGCTATAGCTCCTCTCTGCACTAATGGAAACAGTATCTGTGGCTCTGGCTTCTGCCCCTGCCTGCCACACATGTGGAGCTCAGAGAGTCACATTCCATCTTCCTTTTGTTGGGGGACTTGAGAGTCCCTTGGACTGCAAGGAGATCCAACCAGTCCNAGTAGACTGCAAACTAGATATTCAGAAAATAGTCCTGCAAGCAGAGGTAATAGAAGATATAGAATCTTTCACCCAGACATCAGCCATCCTGTTGTTTTTCTGGCCACAGTTTTGGATGAAAGGGTAAAGCAGAGAAGAGCTCACCAATCCAGTAAGAAATTATTTCAAAACTTAAATTTAGAAATCATTTAGAAAGTTGAGTTAACATCCTTTCTATTCTCAGGAGAGCTCCCCAATTTCCAGCAAAGACATAAATGTGAGAACACTGGTTGTTTGTTTTCTTTTCCTCTGCTCTCCTATGCTCACACACGCCAGAAGCAATCTTCAACTTCCTTTTCTTTGCACAGAGATGACCAAAAGGAACTTCAGCAACTTCATTTGTGTTGAGCGGCTGTCACAGACAGATATTAAGTCACACTGGGCTGCCCAGGTGGCACTAGTGGTAAAGAACCTACCTGCCAACTCAGGAGACATGAGATGTGGGTTAGATCCTGGGTTGGGAAGATCCCCTAGAGGAAGGCATGGCAACCCACTCCAGTATTCCTGCCTAGAGAATGCCTATGGACAGAAGAGCCAGACGGGTCCATAGGGTCGAGAAGGGCTGGACACGACTAAAGTGACTTAGCTTTCCCCAGTTACAATGACTTTGAATCCAAAAGTCCACAATGTGTGAGAAAGGATAGTGACATAGTTATTAAAGGCGCTGGTGAGGAGGGAGTCCTTATCAGCTGCATCAAATAAGTCTGTTCATCTGCTTAAATATTTATTCAGTGCTTATGTGTAGACACACTACTGGACTCTGAAAATCAGTGATGATCAAAGAGGCTTGCTCACAGTCTAGAAGTGGAGGCTGGCATTTATGAAATAATCACAGAGATAACTGCTCCAAAAGGAACACAGTTCTTACAGGAGAATCTGCTGTAACAAAGGAACTAATTTTACAGGGTCAGAGTGAACCTCCCTGAGAAAATCCTCATAAGCTAAAAGCTGAAAGATCAAGAAGAGTGAGGGAATGCACATGTTAATATTCAAAGAACTGGAAGGGTGGTGTGACCAG